ACACACACACACACACACACACACACACACACACACACACACACACACTACTGACAATGTGCTGATAAACACATTTTTCTCTCCACCAAACTGAATTCTCCTCTATAACATATTTATTTGTTTTGTCTTCTTATGATAGTTTTAGCTTTCAACTACCAATCTGCCGTTTTTAGCTTTTAGGTTTCCTTTTGATACATTTAGCCTTTAGCTCGTGTTCTGCTACATGAAGATTTAAGTAAGCCTTTGGATATTTTTTAACTAGCATATTGCTACTTTTGGCTTGTATGTATGCCTTTTTTTAGCTATTTTTCTGCATCTTTAGCACCTTAGTTTTAGCTTCTTCAAGAAATTACAGCACAACACTTTTTTTTCTTTCAGAAAAGGTTATTTATCTTTTTTATATAGAATTTATTTAATCAGTTTTGGTCACTTTTCCGTCTCTTTGTGGTCACATTGCTAAAATTAGTTTCATTTTTAGGTCTTATAATGAAGTCGTTTTCATGTTTTCACCATTTTACGTCAGATAACATGAACATTTCTGTTCATTGGTTTTATTTATTTTTTTCTCACTGTAGAAATTTTTGCTTCAGGAGGTAAAAATGTGCTCCGTAATCAGAAAAATGTTTTACTTGTTCTTGTGAACAATTAAACTGTAGGCACCAGGAGCTAAAAGATAAAGGCCTTTGAGTTCGTCTTCTGTTGATGGAGCCGAGTGATAACAGAAAAACACTTACATATGTTCGAACCAGATAAGCACGAGGAAACTAAATTAACTTTAGTTTGTTTTGTGCAGCTTCATGGAAAAATGTGACCTAGTGACTTTTAATGCAAAGTCATCCTGCTAATTTTTTTTACTTTCTTTGTTTTCAGTGTTTGTTAATTATTATTTATGAGGTATTTTTTTTAAAGTCAGTTTTTTATGTCTTTATCTTGTTCTTATCCATCTCATTTTGATCGGTTTGTTTCATTACCAACGTCTTACCAGGATTTTGAGTTTTAAAACCTCTTCTTTTTTATACTTTGAAAACTGGAAATAATCCTGGATGCTTAAAATCTTGAAATACTTTTTGAAATTCTTGGACTCAGACCATTTCATCCAAACCTTAAAAAAATACCAGCCTTAAAAAAATTATTTTTGAATAATAAATGAAAAAAAAGTCATTTTGTTTAAAAACCTACGTATCAAGTGAAAAATCTGTTTAAAGGCACAGTATGTAGG